GGATGCCGAGGATCCGGGGGGCCAGGGTGGAGCCGAGGGCTCTGGCGACCAAGGCGGAGATCCGGAGATCTGCGGCGGAGCCAGAGTGACTGAGGACCAAGGTGGAGCTGGAGGGAGGAAGGAGCCCAACGGCGAGCAGAGGGGCTGCCAGACGACAGCGGTGGAGGAAGCAGGAGCGGGTGGGAGGGCAGGCATTTGTGAGCCTCCGGGCATTCAGGGGTAAACTCTGGTTTGGGAGCCCCCTCTAGGCTGAACACGGGAACAGGATGGCGCTCTGGAGGAGCAGACACTTGAGGGCTGGACTGGATTCGGGGACTGGAGCCCTCTCCTCTTCGGTGTGGCACATTCGCCGCGCCATACTCAGCTCACCCTCAGCCGCGGTGCAGGGGGCGGAGCTCCTCGCCGCGCTCACACCGTCCGCGGCTTTCTCCCTTGTGGCGGACATTGTCGCCAGCTCTCGCACCTGGTCTGACGGGTTCGGCTCTATCTCCGGGGCGATCCTCCGCTCAGTCGCTCGGCGTTGCGCTGGCTCATTGATCGCGGCGGGATTAGGCTCTCCGTCATCGGTGGGCTCGGGCTGATGCTCCGCACCGCGGGCAGATGGTGGGCTGGGCACTGGGTCGGGAGTGGATCTGTGTGTCGCCAGTATCCACTCCACAAAGACAGCGAAGTCCTCTCGAGGACCATCCTCGGACGACGGCGCTCTGCAAGCGATTTTTAGACTCGCATTGTAGAACGCACAGAGCGCGTCGTCCGGGTAGCTGGTGGTGTTTGCTAAGAGCAGGAACAGTCTCGTTTGGTCCTCGAGAAATCGGTCCCTCTGCTCCAGCAGGAGGAGGAGGTACTCTGGGCGAAGAAGGGCATCCATAGAAGAAGAAACACAACGGAAACAAAAACACTGAGAGAAAAACGAGAAAACAAACGGAGGGGAAAACACGGAGGTAACTGCTTTTGGGTCTGGTCTTCTGTCACGTTACGCTGCTGGAACATGACCAAATAAGGAAACACAGGAAGGACTACGGGGGCAAAACAGGTCCAAAAGTCTGACACAGTTGAAGGAAAGGCAGAACTACCTCTACTGTTATATATGGCTTACGTTTATGTGTATCTCATTGCTAGAACTCTTCATAAAAACAGCTAGAATAATTATGGAGACGTGATGATATGCAGTTCTGATCATAAGACCACATAGGCCTATATAAACCATCTAATGGATCTGTGGTTATCTTTGATACACAATAAATCCATTATCAAAGCAAAAACACGGATTCATTTACATGCCAAAAGAGGTTTTCAAAGATACAGAAGAACGAGAAACAAACAAAAAAGTAAACCGTTTCAGTTTATATGTGCAAGTAGAGATGGTGCAAATAGTTGCAGACTCTAATAGACCCTTGCTAACTGAATTATTGATAACTCTTCATGCTGTTACATGCTATATGATCCCATCCAGGGAATGGGCCATTATTGTCCCATCAAGTAAAACTTTCCCTGAGAATATATGGAAATACATTTCAGGCTAAATGCAGTATCCGATGCATTGGATGTTCTGTACTGTAGAATATTATAACTTAGCCTCTTTGTAAATGGCTTCATATACAATTACATTCTCTAAATGGCAGTGAGAGGAAATAGTAATCCTGCATTAAGAAACTGCATTACACTGTCTTTGGGTAATCATGTAGTGTAAGGTCAAAAATGGATAAATGTCCATAGAAACAATTAGCTACTAACACTCAGCTCTGTTTTGACGGGGTTCCTCAGCATATATGCGATCTATCTTGAGACATTTTACCATGCATCTCTCACAAAGCTGGTTTTGTATTTAACAGACAGTTCTTTTTTAAATCAATCAGTTTAGATTTTAATATTATAAGCTAATGTGACATTTTAATACCAGATAACATCACTAATTATGCTTGGATGCTATTTCAGTGATAGTCCTTTCTGCTGAGACCATTTAAATTACACATAGTTTATAAAATAATTCTATTAACAGCTAGCGCTGTGAGAATAAGAGCTAATAGATCATCTTAATGTGCCTTTTTGGTTCAAACACCAGTTAAAAGAGGAAGGGGTCAAAAACAATTCAGATGGAAACTCTGTGACAGTAAGTCAGGAAATACAAAATTAGTTTCGCTAGTTATATATATGATTTGAACATTTGAGCATATTTGTATCACACATTAAATAAGAACTCAAATGGTTGAAATCATTAGGGAAATGTAATTATGTGTAATAATAATATGTAGTCATGAGAGCATCCAGTCACAGTTCCTCATTTAAGGCACAGACTGTAAACAATAGACAACCACAATAGACATGGAACATTATTCAGATTTGTCATAACAAGGATTAATGTTTAATGTGCATTTCAAAGTAAAGAAAGGGTGTCAAGGATGCTAGAGATATTTTTAAATCATGAAGAGAATTGCGCATATTCGATGCGTATGTGAAAGCAGACTCCTCGATGGGTGAGGCAGCACAGATTGTTAAAGAGTCTAACAGATATTTGATGGACAAATTATATGAGTTAATGTTGTTTTACGCTAGATGATGACCTAATATGCAATTGTAAGATGCTGGATAGTCTTACTTAGTAAAATAGTATGACATGGCCTCTCCATAAATGGGTTCAGATAATATTACAGCGGAAACTGTACATTACACAGACACCCTCTTTAGATCATCTCACTTATTACATTATGAGATTTAGCACTTACACAGCATGTTTTGGGTTGAGCAAAAATAGTCACGCATGTTATTGTCAGTTTTAAGAAGACAAACATTAAAACTGATCTGCAACAAAATGGACTGAAGTAGATCACAAAAACATCAAAAAATTAAATAAACCAAAGGCATTTGGCAGCAAAAACCAACTTTACAGGTTTTAATATGATTTACTACACTAGCAAAATCTGAATTTTTAAAAATATTGCCCTAAATTATTTAATACGTAAGAGTAAAGTATGAAACATTTGTACTCACCAATTAATTTCTGTTTTTGTAGTATCCAGTATCGATGAGCTTGATTCCTTGAGCACGATAACTTGCTCTCTCTCTCTCTCTCAGTGTAAGAGAGGAAGATAGGACAAGATGTTTTGAGGTTGCTGAGAGCCTTACAGAAAGGCGGGTTGTATTGATTTTTTGAGTATGTTGTTACGTATGTTTTGCCATGTCCACGCCTGGTTGTAGTTCATTTATAATCATCCATATATACAATGCACTAGAAGTCATCAAGCTCCTTCTTAAAATGCTTCATTCTCATCTAGCAACACTATATTCTACTACATATCTTAACTATCCAAATTATCAATTATTCATGTGCTGGAATGCATTTAATATCGAATAAGTCCTGAGCAGCACATGTTTGGTTTGAAGCAGCATTCAGGTCACCTACACTTATCTGTTGAAACTGTTCTGTTGAGCAATTTCACCTTCTTAGCGTGCAGAGTTTCCTGTATGACACTGGAGGACTGTGGCAGAGTAAAGCGGTTTTGGTGCATACATGATGGTTTAGGTGC